GATCTATTTCCATGCACGTACAGACGAACACGCGTACACGTTATATACTATTATGCAGCTGCACCGACTTGCTTTTCTTTGATCTTCTAATCATAAGCGGTGGTCTATCTCTGGGCAGATAACTCGTGTTGATCTCAGTAAAGCATCTGATATGGACCCGCCTCAGTGTAATTTACATGTTTAGAAGGTACGCCGACGTAAATTAAACAACTATTATGACAGTCATTTCAATTTTACTCGAGATAACGCCGTGCCTTCTGGTACATTTTTATCAAAAATATTGATTTTAATAATAAAATTTGCATTGCCGCGTCGCCCCAGGGGACTCGCTATGAAAGACAAAAGTTTGCAATTAGTTACGAGTCACCGAAATGAAACAATGATAATTTTTCTGTTGAATAAGACAGTTATATCGCAAATTTGAATATTAAATCGTCAAATTTGAAACGATAATTAGATAACACGTGTGGAAATGGTTGCTATGTAACTTTCTCTCTTGAAATTCTAAATTCCCCGCTTGATTTTACGAAATCTCGCGTACTGAATATATATAATTAATAATTGAGAATTTATCACCTTTTATCAACGTTGTTATTAAAGTTGGAATATTAAATAAAAAAAAAATTATTAATAACTTAACCAGCATTAAAAAGCACCAACATTTATGTAACTAAAATAAGGACCTTTAAATGTATGCTTGTATACTTGTTTATATGGAAATAAAACTACTAGTAATACTATGACTTTGTTTTGTTTTTATTTTTATTTTAATATTTTTTATTATTTTCTTTTTATTTCTTGTTGTTGTTGTTGTTGTTGTTGTTGTTGTTTTAGTCAAGTAAGCGTGAGAGCCTAAGTTTTGAGTGGAATAATACTCTTAAATTGCTCCAATGTTTGTTTAACCGATTCTTTTGGGTCTCCAGAACAGAAAGGGTGGCAAATTGTTGTAACACGGGACTAAACAAACGATTGGACAGAAAACCTGGCTTGCACCTAAACTGCTGCTAAATTTCAGTGATGAATTCGTTCAAAGGAGTTTAACTATAACACATTATGACAGATTGTGTAAATAAGCTCACTTAGATGAACAATTTATGAGGCAAAAATGACTGGTAATTTTAAATCAATCGGTCTACAGATGTCGGACATTTCGTTGTTTTAAACATCATTACGGCGCCGACAAAGTCACTAAACGGTAAAATTAGAACACGCGATTAGTTAAATAGTGTAATCGCTCATAAAATAGTACTAAATTCATCAATGCGCCTACCAATACATTGACCATTTTGGGCCGCTGGGTGTAAGATACGCACAGTTTTTATCACGGGAGGCGGAGAATTTCAGACTTTATATGCACCCCGAATAAACACACACGAATATTTGTATGAAAGACCTTTAAGACATTAATAAACTTTGCTACAAAGTAACGCAGTTGATCATAAAAAGAAACCTCGCCACGGGACAAAGTATAATAATCTTAATAAGATCAAAGAGGTTTATATTTTTATCTGTTATTTATATGTTTATCGAACAACGTTAGGTTTTCGTTGGATAAACATCCAGTTTTGAATATAAACACAAGTTAGGGCGGAAAAAGGAAAGCCTTTTCACCAGACAATGTAAATATATCACTTGTTCACTATATTTAAATGTTTAGCTTGAGTCCAGAAAAGTCAATATTTAACTATTTAAAATCTTAAGTTTTGCAGTTTTTGACAAAAAAAGCTGAGTGTATGTGTAATGTACATGTATAAGGTTTAACCGCGCAAAACACCGTCAATGTCCGCTAGCAAAATTCCCTTACATGGTCTTCCGTAGGAGTACAATACACCCAACAAACATAATATTTGCAAAGAATGTTTAACCATTTAACCGAACGAAAATAAAAAAGTTTCGGTATCAAAGTTAAAGATGTTTAATGTTGTCAGTTGATTGTAAAATCCTCTATCTCATGATTTTAACCTAAAAACACAGACTGTTTAACGCCGTTTTCCTCACTGATTGGTATCGCTTATCAGCACTATAAATTAAACGTTTGATTAACTTAAAGCACAAATGTTTGAAAAAGCCAATTTGATTTGAAGATCTTAGTTCAAAAGTATCAATAAATTTTAACAATAACTGAGGTCAGGCAAAACACTTAAATATAAGATTAGGAACACGGTTCTCCTCGGGTCAGCGTCAATAGGACGGGTGAGATAGGGTCACCCTGTGTGCTTCCGCTGGTAATATCAAACTCGCACACACAAAAAATAAAAGCAAAAATAAAATCATATCACGCCGAGAGATCGCTTTTAGCAATTCATAGATTAGAAATATTGGTTTTATAAATCTTTATAAAATGATATCTTCTTTCCTATATTAGTCTCATATCAAAGGACCTCAATATAGAGAAATTAGTTGCTTTTCACAATTCTAATTTGTTTTTTTCAGGATAGATGAAAGTGATACCGGCCACCAACATTGGCAATCGTCAAAGTAAAGGCGTGTGCAAACCTTGTCATTTCGTCCACCTTTCTGTTTCGTGTTTTTGTCCTATAGAAAATGCATTAAGAGATTTTTTTCATCATTTGCAAAACTGTGGAAAACGTTAATTGTAATGATATTTAATGTCATAAAATGTTAAAAGTCTAAATTAGAAGTTCAAGTGACAAGTATGGTATCACTAACATTTTGATGAAATTGTCAGAAAAGTAAATACGAAACAGACGAATTAATTACAAAAAAAATGTCATTTCGTAATTAAATAATTTCTTTAGACAATTCTTTATTGACATTTTTCATTGCGTGATGATATTTATTATTTGTTTCACCATTCATTCGTGATATCTGTACTTTTTTATATTTGAAGGGTGAATATCTTTTTTATCAAATGACGTCGCTGATTTTCAATAAAATGTAACAACTGCATATATATTTCTATATATGGCACAGCCTCGTATTAAATTTAACTCCTTTAAAGCTGCATGCCTCCAGATAAGCCAAAATATTTGGAAACAATTGAAGCTGTTCAAGACCATTTAATGAATTCGGCTAAAATATCATTACAATATTCCATATATACATGCTAAATTTTAGCTCTGTTTTCATTTTTGATAAATAAATATATTAAGTCAAAAACTTAATGTTATTGATAATAAGCTGTGATCATGCTCCTATTCTGCTCTACTCAGCTCAGCTCTTCTGCTCTGTAATATAAAGTCTATGAACAGGTCAAGATATAAAAAAATATCTGTATTCATCTAAGGGTAGAGTCTAAAACTCTGCCGTCAATTCAATATTTTACTTAAAACACCTCTATCAGTAAGTTCCTAGATTTGAACACTTCGCACTTGAAGCAGATGGTTAAAATGTCTAAAATAGAAAAATAAATAACTGCCATTTTAGCCCAATCTGGTCCTTAGTAACTTTAATACATGGCCAACAGTGAAACAAGAGTTGCTTCCCTTTGCCTAGGTTGTGGAGTGATTTAGAAAAATTGATTTTTCATGCCAATAAATGGGATTGATTTCCCTGGAACTGCTGCTGTCCTTGATGCCAGAATTTTCTCATAGAATAATTATCAAATACTCCATCTGTTCAAACATTGCCATACAGAGTAACAAAATCAAGGTCAAATTCCTGTAGTAATTTTTATTTTTCAAACAAAAAGAAAGGTAATATTTTAACCGTGCGTTCCGTTGTCATGTTGTTTTTGTTTGTTGTTGTTGCTTAGTTGTTTCTTATCATTTTTAAATACATGTATAGTTAGATAAACGCAGAAAACGATTATTCATGCTGGTAAGTTTGATTTAACTGTCTTCCTTTGTCACAAAAATCGACGTGTTTTTAAATTATTTTTCAACTTATTTTACCTTTTTTTTAACGAAATCTGAATTTTTACCATATTTCTGATATGACCCTTGTTTTAAAAAAAATAAATATATGCCAATAAACTATACATAGAGGAAAAAAGTTCCCTATACAACAATTTGCGGCGAACTTATATAATAATATCTTTATAAACTATTAAATCCTTTAATGCTAAATATTTCACCGTATGCAGAAAACTCAACATTAAATACCAACTGGTTTAACTTAATAATAAAACACCTTGTCAAGCCGACACGTAACAAAACCGTAAAATTTGTCATGGATTGAAGTGACTTTATTATATACTTTTTTTCATACACACAAAAATATCTACATTATACGCGTATAGATAAATCTTAACATTTTATTTTTCAAATATGGAGGATAAAGGTAAAATATTAAAAAAAAAAGAAAAGAAAAAGATCACAAAAAACGGCCACTTAAATCCATGATATGGATTCAAATCTTTGGAGTAAAATATTGAATTTTAAAACTTTGGATTAAATATATTTGAATTGATTACAAAAAGTTTTTTATCAATCATTCGCCCACATGTCTCGATTTAGGAACAAAGAGTTTATAAAATCAGATCTTAAAGTTATCACAGTTTTTATGCTATTGAACAAAGTTTTGATTTCGAAAACATACCTGTGTTAAAATTTCTAATAATTTGCTTTTCGTCCGAATTTAAACTATAACTCGATTGAAAGGAGCTAAAATTGGAAGAAACCATGTCAGCGCGGAGTGATATATGATTAATTTGGCTGATGAAGAGAATAGAATAATAGCCTCGACTTTTTAATGAATCTATCAGAAGAATAACGTCTCCCATAAATGATGAAATTTAAAACGCTTGGGGCATTCGTGTATTTCATCTCTTTGGCACACGCCAAGGCACACGTTCTAAATAATAGCGAAAGCACTTGACAGGATCTTTGCAGACGACATTGAAAGAGGAGGCGGAGTTTAGAATACAGGTGCGCATGTTGTCACGGTTGCGTGAACGCCCTACTGCGGTTAGTATCGTCAACGCCCCAGGTAGCACGCGCTGTATTGAGATTGACAGGTGGGTGGAGCGGAGTCGCGTGTGAAAGGTTGATTGACATGATACGGTTGTATGGTCACATATATCGCACCTGAGTTTATAATATCGACTTATTTCGTCAGGGTCATATTCGAACGAACTGTATGAGGAGAAGTAATAACGCACACTTTTGGCACACGACTGTCGCACGAATTTATACGTACATACTTATAAAGACATTTGCATATTTCTAATTTTCAATGATTGAAGTTTTATAGTTGCATAAAATTGATACAATGGCAGCTACTACATTAGGATTTATTCCACTGCAGCTGATTCCAACAAACGCTATCGGGCAGTACAATTTCGAGAAAGGATTTCCAGCAAATGGGACATACGTGGTGGTGAAAACGCCAACAGTAGCTCAACAACTGCAGCTTACAAAATCTCTGAAAGAAATGCAGAATGGAGGAAAAGAAATTAACAATAACGAAAATGCAAACAAACCAGTTCTTCTACGGTGCAAAAGACGGGTGGATTTTACCGGACTTGGCTGCAAACTTGTAGACTCACAAACTCCGTCTGTTTCCAGACGAAATGAGCGGGAACGTAAGCGCGTGAAAATGGTTAACATGGGGTTCGAGACGCTAAGACAGCATGTTCCTGTGGGCCGAAAAAACAAGAAGATGAGCAAGGTTGAGACACTAAGGTCTGCCGTACAGTATATAAAACAACTGCAGGAACTTCTGGATGCTGACGCTGCAGCTCCGGACAATCGTCTGCTCGATAATGTAGATATGGACGAACTTGAGAACAAAGTTACAGAAATGATACAAAATGCAAACGAAAGTAACAATAACCTGAACTTAGAAAATGGTATTAATTTAAGTAACAGTGTTAATCAGGAAGCTATGGACGTCTCGCAGAATCTCGGAAACCGTTTGCAGCAGACGACACAAAATTTTTATCCGGAACAAGATTCTAGCACACCGGAATGTTCACCGGATCTACCGCAGTCTCCAAATCATGCACAGGATCATTTTTTCCAGAACTATCAAAACTGTCAGCCAGTTTACACGACGCAATATGACAATATTTCCACGTCGTCGGCGGCGGGATCAGTAATGTCGTACTCCCAGGCATCTCCCGCCGGCTCACTACATTCTCCAACATCAAGTGTCGTGTCGGACTCCAGTTACGACTCTGTCGGTCATGAAGAAGAAGATATTCTGTCATTCTCAAGCTGGTTTTGATCATTCAAAACAATCAAGTCTGCATATGTTTGGTACGTTTGATTTTTTTATACATATAATATTGTTTTTAATTTCTTAAAACATAAGCGATTTAAATCTGAAGGCTTTTTTATTCTGATGTTTTAAGACAGTAACTGTTTGCCAAATTGCCGTGTTTATTAAAAAATCTCATTCTTTCACTATATACTGCTAAGTAAACCGAACAGTTTATAATGCATATTCACGGTAATACAAATATACCATATTATCGTTAATAGTATTTATTTTAATTTTATTAAATCTATATATTCTTTAAAACTAACGATTAAATCATTTGAAATTGTTCGAAATTTCTTGAGCAAACATTACGCCTTTCTCAACTTCTGGTAAAATTTTACAAGCTTAGAAAAATAGACAGTTAAATTAAATTGTTCACCGGTATTTAAAAATCTTTAAATCTGGGATTTTATCACTTCGTTTACAAGATAAATTTAAATATTTAGGATGTTTTGTAGTAAGGAGTCATGTTTGCGATATTGTTAAGCGTAGAATTTCGGTTGTCAGGTCACGCTTAGTATTTTAAACTCATTTTCTTCATTTTTTATTTCTATTCTTTATCAAATTCCCGAAGATTAACTTTAAATTATTTAAATTGTAAGTTGTATAATATTAAATTTGCCTAAATTGGAATATTGAATTAAAGTGAAGACGGTGTAAATAAACAGACTGTCGATTATTTGACTTAAACATTTCAATGTTTCTTTGTATTTAGAAGCTATTTACTTTTAATTTCTTCTCTTATTTTTGAAAGGATTTTTTTGTATTTAGTTTTGTCCATCAATGAACGTTTCGATGGGTGTAAATTTACAATAAAATTAGCGCAAATAACACAGGCCCTGAAAAATAAACAAATTTCAACTCCCGTATAGTAACTGGAGACCACGAAAATTTACTTTCGGATTTGAGAAGCAAATAATAACACTGGGGCCGTCTTCCGTGAAAAGTTGTACTTTTAAACTAATTACTGTCGTTTAAACAAGACTGGATGTCACACAATTAAAAATTTAGTTTATAATTACAGCACTCGTTTCGGATAGAATTTTCTCGTAATCTCTACATAAAAGCTAAACGTAAGCACTCCAGTCTTAAACAGTCTAAGTCTATTTATTTTATAAAATGAAGGACCACTTTACTAAAGATCCTTCAAAATTGATAAAATTCGGAATCCGTCGGTCTTTTGGATTTGTCACAATGAAGGCGAACTGTTCTTTTATCATTAATCTTTTGTTAACGGGGCGTAATTGCCTTATATAGTTAAAAACTGGATTTAAGACTATCTTTTCACAGATTTGTGTACTTATCAGTTATAATTAGCAATTTCGCTGTTTATTCAATGACCCTCTTCGCTACTTCTTTTTTTCTAGATTGTCTTCTGTAAATATTGAATGTAAATATAAAAAAGAATCTGTCCCCTAGGGGTCGAAGACCAGCTCAGGATTTAGGGTTTCATTTTTTATTCAAATGTTTTATGTTCATCTTAAATTCTTTCTAAAAATCACGGTGCGCAAAATGCAGTGGCGTGTCTTCGCAACAGAATCTAGGTTTATACCAACTGATATGTATTTAAATTTTTTAAATGTGAAATAATTTCAATAGTCGCATATCGGTGCTTCAGCGTTTAATAAAAAGAGAATGAGGTTTAATATTTTTGTCATGCATTGATATTTAATTGAAATTAAATCCGCACATCTGTAATATTCTCAGACATTCTTGAGTTGCTTTTTTTTTCATTTCCAACCCAGTCAACCAATCAAGTTTCAAGCTTTTTGTTCTCGCGTGAGCTGGCGCGTGCGGCACACGAGAACGAGATTTTTTGGTCGCGCGAAGTTGATAATGGGCTGATAAAGATAAAATTTACTTTAGTTGAGGTTTTTTCGTAATATGGTTGCATCAAGCAAAATATGTAATTAAAGGCGGTATATCACCTTTATGGTAGCATGTCAACAGTTTGTCGACGCTTGCTTGGTTTTTATCACCACTCATTCAAACCTCGTCAATTCACTTGCATACCACGAGAGAAAAGAGGAGTTGCGGATCTTTTATTAAATAGAAATATAATTTGTGTGCATACGCACTGCGATTTTTTATATATTGATCTAATTTTTAAAAATTGTTAGTAAAAGTGAAGGGTTCGGTGCGGATCAAAGAGGTCAAAATGGGTGAATTGGGTGCGGAACTAAATCTTTATTAATAAATAATGAACTTAAAGCGTGGCAGTTAGAAAGTTAAATAAGGAGAGGGGAAATCTTACACTTCCTTTAACATATTCTATTCAGCGAGTATAAACTAGGTGGCAATCTGGTATAAAAATGATTTAATAAGCTGTGAAGTTTTGGAGTATGTTTGCTTAATACTTCGTTGACTTAGAATAAATTATGAAAATTTATTTTTATTTATTTATTTCTCTCTTTTCAGAATATGCATTGATTTGTGATAACAGAGTCGGTTAATTGTGGATTACGGACAAACCGTAGCGAAAGGACTAATGCGGTTTCAGGCATGATGCGTGAGCCGTAAAAATCAGAGGACCTCCGAATGACAGATTACACGGAGTTGCGTTGGTAACACAAGCCATGATGCAAGGTAAAAATGCAGGGTGCATTTCTGAAGAACACCGAATATCGTCATGGCAACGTGCAACCAGCAACAGAACACTGCCTTATTTAAATGCATTTAGCATTGTATAGATTTTGAAATTATAAAGTATTTATTCATTTATAATTGCAGTTGACAATACTGGAATAGTGCCTTAAATGGACTCGTGTTTTTAATGAATGTATATATTTTATTGAGTATGAAATATTTATTCATAGATTAAAGAAAGAAAAAAAGAAAGAAAAATACGAAAGGTTGAGATTTAACTTTTCTAATTTTGTTGCAATATTTTAGAATAAAAAGTTAAATAAAACAAACGCCACTGCTTATTGTAAAGAATTTATCGGTCAATTATTATTGTTTGAGTTTTTATGAAACAACTTTTAACTAGAGTTAAGCGATTTTAAAATACTTGTATTTTCTTTTACTTGAAAAAAAAAACGACAACACATATGGCGTATTTATTACTTTACCATTTTTATATGTTACTTGAACAAAGTCTGCTTGAACAAAAATGTGCAGTTATTTGTATTTTCCCCGAATGTGTTCAATTCTGTTTTTATCATATACATATACATATCATTTTTTACAATATTATTAAACATAAGCTCAATTCGACCAGGTACTTAAAAGGCCCTTGTTCGGACTTTTTTTTTGAGTTTGAAGATATTTTTTGTACTGTTCTCATAATAATGTGTTCAAAGGAGATGTAAAACTTAACATTGTGTACTTAGTACTTACACAATACGTTACACAATTGTGTAATAATGTTTTCTATGCAGTGTGTTCAGAAATGTGTTCAACATACATTTTTTTTAATATAAAATGAGACATAGATAATTGTTTTTATATGCAAACTTACAATGATAAAAATACGTCATAGATTCTGACGTCATAGGCACTTGTTTTTTTTTGTTTGAAAATTGTTTTTTGAAAATTGTTAATTTTCTTATTTGTTGAGAAAAAATTTAAATATGGGTACAAATTCTTCACAGGTTTATGCAAGAGTTGGGTTGTTATGAAATTGAAATAGTGCTTCCAAGCGTTAATATGTACATAATTTTATTCTATTTTTATGAAATTTACATACATTTATATATGTGACTGTATAAATATTATTGAAATTGTATATAGTTTTATATAACGAGTTCAAATACCTTTTTTTTTTAAAAAATGTGTTATGATAATTCATATCTCTAAGCGAGATGAAATAAACTGAAAATGAAAATCAAAGAAATGTGTTTGTTTTGTTGTTTTATTAAAGGGGGTATATCAGAAAATAACAAAATGAAAATGTACTTTGAAAAAATGATTAATGGTTTATACTCGAGCACCTGGAGAAGTTTATGTAACTTTGTATCAGTGTTTAGAAAACTTTGGGTTAGTTTATTTTATTACAGGTTGTTTCTTTTTAAAATATAATCAAATGACCTGTCCTTTAAATAAGCATTAGATGAAGCATGGTCTTTGATTGTAGAGGTGATATATACAATTCGTGCTATTTATTTCCATATAAACAAACTCTCCTATAATTACACCAATCTTGCTATAAAACCATGATGGGGCTTTAAGATATTTAGTTTAATACCTTAGAATTTAAGTTCAAATAAAAAAAAGAAAAACTATATACGGCATGTTAACAGTTAGTTTGGGGACATTTCTATACAAAAATTCTTTTGTATAAACCGACACACGTGCTACTTTAAAATGAACAATTTCAGCGTACACGCGTCTAATTTCACTATATTGTTATCTAGCTCGATTAAATATTCAAACATTGTGCTTTTTTTCAGAACTGAAATCAAGCGCATAGTACAAAATGTATTAAAATCTAAAGTATCCGAATTCCCTTACACTGACTGTTATTTGTATTTTAATTTTATCACTTTATTTTTCCATTTACCGCCGTATTTCCTAGTTTTGATAGTGTAAAATACTCAAATGTAATGACATTTAAAGTTTTTGTTGTTCGGAGAAAAATCTATAAAAAGTCGTAATCTAAGAGTAAATTTGAAAAGCCTATCCATAAACCCTTCAAAATAGCCACTGAATATCCTTGTTTTATTGGGACCGCAGACGACAGATGTAAGAATAGCTTTACCTAATACAAATAAAGAAATTTAAAATCTTGAATGATATATCAAATTAACATAAAGTTTATTAGTCATTTAAACTTTCGTTTAAGTTTTTATGTACCTTTATAAATTTAGATTTAACGTATTCTCTCGCACATATACTCAAACAGTCAAAATAGGAACACCATAGGTCGTTAAAGACGGCAAAACAAATGACATTAGAATGGGAAAGAATATAAGCTACTCACAATTTTAAAAATAAACAGTGCACAATATTGTCAGAAAGACAAATGCCCTTAAATAAAAGAAAAGACAGTCGATATCCCGAAAAGTTTTAGGTAAACACTGTGTAATTCTATTTCCATAGTTATCCAAAGTTAGCTCAAATCTTCTGATGCAGTTTAACATGGCCTGTTATTTTCAATTCGTTATTGGTCCCACAAAAAACGTCATGAATGGTTTACACGTATTAGACAGAAAGATTGTAAAATATGCTTTGCAGCAATTAAAAAAAAGGGAAAAACGTTATTATACGGAACTTGTTCCATATAGCAAATTAAAAATATTCCATATAGCTAATTAAAGTGAACGAGTACAATTTCCCTAAGTATTTTAGACATTTATAATAAATATAGAAATACGTCAGATGGATATTTTTTATTAAATATTTGATTGAAAGAAAAATATATAAAGTAATTTGCGTATAAACATTTTTATGAGGAATATTAATATTTTGTTCTGGAACAATTTATTATCTGCTATTTAAATATATGCAATATCAGATCATGTGTCTCACACTTACCAACAACATTCATGTATGATTCTTTTGTGATTTGTTGTTATGTATGATACTAAGTAGTAAGTATTATCAAAGTAATTATTAATTGTATTACCGACCTTCTTTTGTAGACCAAATTTCTTTAATACTCGCCGTTACTATTTCACTAAAATGAACGTTTAGTGTTAAATGACTTTAAGTTAATATAGCATTTATTTTATTTGTGTAGGAAGCTATTTAAAATTTAAAGCCACACTCTTGAATTGACTCCTGCTTACCACCGATTTGACACCCCCCCCCCCCCACTTCCTCCAAAGGGGTTTAAAACAAACGGCCTGCAAGCCTTGATTACTAGTCCGACTAGTTAACTTCGCCAAATAGCTTCTGAAGTCTACAGTTTTGTTGAGGAGAAAAATATTGAAGGAGAAATGAAAAACGGGTCTTAATCGACAAAAGCAGACGTACATTGAGTAGAAGTACTGTTTATAATGCAGACAATTGATGTTTCCCTGTGGTCGTTTTAATTTAGGGACAGTCAAAAAATAATCTAAACGAAAGAATATGGTTTTGACGTTCATAAATTACCAAATTATTCATTTTTATCTCTAAAGTACATTTTGATATCGGCACATCAGACAGAACTATTGTCTGTTATCATCAGAGGTCACGTCCAGATCACATGATCATGAGATTTCTATTCCGAGAGCCGCCACTAGCCTGTCGACATATATTAGAAAACAAAAAAGGGACTGCAATGCTGTGCGCTGCAGGTGCGCGCGCGCGCTCTTACAATTTGGAATACATGTATCAGGGTGGCTATCATTTTTCCATAAATTTGTTACAAGTTAATGGGGTAACACAGCAGAGTCGGAAATCATCTGAAGATACACTGGAAATTGGCCACAGTTTGAAATCATATTAACATATGTAACAAGGGCGATTTGAACAACACTTAAGTCGTTAAAAATTATCAAAATCCATTACCGAAATTTTCAACAGAAGGCCTATACAGCGAAAATCTAATAAACAGATGGCGCCTAAATATCACTAGGTGTTGTTGAACATTTTAATTTAATTTTTTTTGGCAAAAATGTCGCTATATGAGCATGTATGAACATTTATACAAATCTAGCTAAAACAAGCAACAGCCGACATTTATGTAAAGACTGCATTTAAACTTTGATCATCCTACTTAAAAATACGATCATAACGACAACAACAAACATGAACACTGCGAATGAATGAAACAACATCATTTTTCAGAATACAATCTAATAGTCTTTATGAAGAATAACCTTTCCAACAACTGCCGACCTTAATATATTCCACAAAACATGGAAATGTCATCAATGGTAAGCAAGTATGAACAGTTTGGAAACCGGAGTAAGTATGGTACAAAATGGCGATATCTTTCTTTTGTGTCATTTGATCTCTGAAATTCAACAAATCGTAAAAAGTCAATAATGGAATAGCTACTATGCTTGTATACTAAGCAAAGGGCTTTCAAAGCGCCACTGTGCAGTAGGGGTTCACGATCCCCTATACACACTCATTGTCGTCCATGCTTAACTCACACGCTTTTGTTGACTGCTTTTCTGGAATCATACACACAGCAGTAAGGGTGAGGGGCGAGCGGTTGGAAGTCAGTAATCTTTATTCTACTACGCTACCAATATAATCATAACAATAATTATCATTTTCAATGCAGACACAATGCCAAATTACTACCTCTCGGAAATTAAAAAAATGTATTTTTAAAAATTCATACATGGTATTGACACTGCAACATTAATGGTTCAACTTCTTTATCTCCAGTGTTATATTCTTAGTCATACATTTTTACACGTATTTACAAACATTTAGTTCTGCCAACAACTCATTCTAACCATGCGTCCAGTGCAGACCAAGATGAGCCAAGACATCCGTGTCGTCTGATTCATGGTTTGCTCCATACGCCAGTCAATAAATGATTTGACATTTTCCAAATAATTAATGAATAGTTCAAAGACAGACAAGTGCATTTGAAATATTTAGCATGTTAAGGTCTGAATTCATAATATTATGTACTGGTAGAAGATGAAACAATTAATAGTAATGGGATTTAAATTATCCAGCTAATTTTAACACCTCGATAGTTTTATGTTTAATTTAGGATTTGTGATCCACGTGTGGTCTAAACATCGCATTATCTTCTAATTCCAGCCAACCTATCTCCAGCTAACTTTTAATATTGCCCGCCAAATAGGGTAATAAATACGCTAACTGGCCACATCATAAAACCCTTGTTAAGACAGGTTGATATATTTCAATTCCACTTTGAAGATTTATAAAATCCTGTTAATCACACCTAAAAGATTTATCGTGTTCAGCGTTAAACCGCGTTGTAGAAGTCAAATTATTGATAATTAATTCATTTCGTATCCAGGATACATTTATGTATACGAAAATGCTACTTTGCCTCAATACAAAGATAAAAGGGGCAGAATCAGCACGTAGAAATGAATGTGGTGTGTTTGTGAATTTAAACTTGGCTACAATGATCGCTTCAAAAAATGTCAAGATCATTTAAGGCCAGTCGTAGAGGTCATTTTAGGGTATACCCTGTCAAATACGTATTGGATAAGAAGTGGCAAACAGGTGCACCCTGGCTAATCCCGTATTTGCAAAAATGCCATTAAAATCAATTTGAGACATCAAAACTGATTCTATATAACAAAGTATTTTTCATGTATATCGTCTCAGCATATTAGAAAAAATGTCAATGCTAATGTTAAAGTAAATACATTTCTCAATCTCTATTTACGATCATTATACTTCATCAGAAAAAGCTATAAATATTACGAAACGAGCGGACAATGTGACTGACTATAAAATTATATTGTCTTCCCGAGATCGTGAATAGAAAAAAAAACTAAAACAGGCATACAAATTTGCTTGACATTTTAATAGCCAATCATCTGACCATACAACGCTAATCAGACGAGAATTCAAACTGATTTGAATCATATATCGCAGACGAAGGATATCATTTGGGATAAATCGTTATAAAATTTCCCATGTAAACAAGAAATACTAAAAACGTACAATTACGTGAATTTCGGGTAAATATCTGCTCCAAGTACCACTTACTTCCATTAAAAAATAAATCGGCCATTATACACAGCGCCTAACTACACAGATTCCGGATCATGTGACATAATCGTTAGGTTTATTATACGGATATGGTACAATTTATCGGACAAGTGTTATTTTCTTTTTTATGAATCCAATGTCCCGCCAAAGGACCCTTATTTCTACCTACGTGAAAATGGGGCCTGGATTTTAAGGACCGGATGCCCTATATTATTCTATGTAAATGAGAAAAGGGGGCTTTG